GTACTACTCCTCCCCCAAAACCTACAAGAGGGTATGAGGCCGGAAGCATGCTACTGGGCTTATACTTGAGTTTCTCCAAGCACCGGTAGCTGATGAGGTCGGATGAGCTCCCGGTATCAATCAAGATCCGGCCAACTCTTTGATTGGCGATTTTGCACTCGATGACTATGGGGTCATCATGAGGCCGCCTGACCTCGCCCCTATCTCTCTCGGTTTTTCAAGATTCAACCGGTCCTTTACTTCGTTGAGAATGGAGGCATAGTCCTTGTTGAACTCGTACTTTGGCACATACGGATCCGACCTCTTCCTTTTCTGGAAAGGTTGTCCGGATGAGTCTGCCGCCCATACCCCCTTTCTCTTGTCTTCCTTTTTGGCCGACTGGGTAGGCCGATTCTCTTTTTTATCGGATCTTTTGTAATCCTTTGGAAGTTTAACAGCACACAATTCCACTGCCTGAATGTAGGCCTCCGCCTTCATGAGTGCCTCGTGAAGAGTGGAGACCCTCTTCCTAACCAAGTCAAACTTAAAAGTTGATCCATCTTTTAAGCCTTTGAAGAAATCAGTATAGGCAACGTCATCAGACAATCCATGGATTAAGATCCTCATCAGGTTAAACCGCCTGACATATGACCGGAGCCCCTCTTTGTCTCCCTGTTGTATTGCCCCTAGATCAAGGCTTGTTTTCTTGGCAGGGATGTTCATAGAAAAGTTGGACGTAAACCAGTAGGCCAAGGTCCTGAAATTATTGATGCATCCGGCTGGGAGGTTACCAAACCAACGTTGAGCAATCCCTTTCAACGTAGCCGGGAAGCACCGGCACCATGCGGCATCATCCAAACCCTGCAAATACATCAGGTTGGTGTATGCCATAAGGTGATCTTCCGGGTTGGTGGTACCGTCGTAGGCGCCTACCAACACGTTTTTGATTTTAGACGGCTGGGTCATCTCGGTGATTTCTCTGGAGAACGCCGTTGGCTGTTCCCCAAGGTTGAGCAGCCGGAGCTGCCAGTCCATAGGCTGGACGGGCGACTGATGCTGCCCCCCGAAAATACCTGCCTGTGCATAGGGGGATCCAAAGGGCGTATACGGTGTTCCATGCACTGCCGGTTGGATCATATGGGGGCCGGATCGAGCGGAAACCTCGCTCGTCCGGCTGTCATTGTTTGTTCTCGAGTGCCTTCCTGAGGTGGCATTGAAGCTGTCTCGAAAGGTCGATGTTGATGCCGACTCGGATCGCTGAGTCTTTTTATCTTGGATGAGCGTCCGGGCATCAGAATAGACTTTCTTGGTTCCATCCGGCTGAATGTGCCGAACGGGCTTTCTGACTCCATCTATAGGAGTGTGCATCTTTGAGAAATCAAAGAGCCTAGCTGGCATGTCTGACTTCGGATGTGGGGTAGATGCTCTACCCTTTACTGTTTTGGCTGTCTTTTTACCGTGACGCCTTTCTTCCGCCTGACCCTTACGGGGGCCGGCTGTGTAGTCCAGAAGGCCTTTGATCTCTCCTTTGAAGCTCATCATCATATTCATGAGCTCATTTCTGGAGACTGGGGAGTCTCCAGCGGTAGAGGTTAACCCAAGCGGCCCCCTAGTTGGCTTGCTAGGAGCCGCCTGGTTCCCTTCCCGTTCTCTCTTATCTTTGGAACGGGTGTTCTTGGTCCTCAAAGAGCCATCCGCAGCAGTGTAGGCTTCCAAGTCATAGTTATCGGCTGTATCTTGGTCCGAATGGACCTCAACCTCCCCAGTAGGCAGATTGCCTTTACCAGGTAGTATAGGCTCAGATGTCATCTAGAAAGTACTCTCCCCACAGACGGCGCCAGATGTTTGGGGGTTTTCTATGTGTCCTTCGGGAGAGTTACCATTTCCTAGCAGACTTCCTTCTTACGCCTGTACCTGCACCTAGCAGACCTCCTTCTTACGCCTGTACCTGCACAAGTAACGGAGACTCCGGATGGGGGGTGGGAGTTCCGCCTCCGAAGATTAAGTTAGTATCTTTTCGAAGTGGAATAAGAACAGTAAAAGCTTCTCGGTTCGAGAGCGTTTCAGTAGGTTTGGGCTTTGTTTGGTTTTTTTTTTTGTGGTTGCAATTAATGTATCCTCATAAATGAGGTCTACCCTTACTATTTATAGAAAGGGAGAACTGTACCTCAATTAGGGTATAGGGGACACGTGTCTGCAAAGGGATTGGGCCTTTGCAGACCGTTTGAAGATTGACACGTGTCAAGCCTTTATTGGGCCACGTGTCTTAGGGTATTTTCACCCTAAACACCAGGGGACTTCTCCTGAGAATTAGTTTCTTTAGAAGAGATTCCTAAGCTGAATGAAGGAGTTCCACATCCTTTGGCAACTTAACTTCTTAAACTATATCTCATACTTGACTCTCCAAGTTTTTTAAACACATGCTCAGCAACCTTAGGCTGTATGATAACAGATGGAGCTTCAACATCAGGTATACCACTTGTTATGTGAACACATTCAGCAGCAATCTTAGTAACATCAATTGGTTCTGATTCAATCAGATGATCAACCCTAGCATTAATTGTAGATTCAGCATGCTTGTCATTGCCTGAAATCTTTGAAAACCTATCACAAGCTTCAATTACAGCTAGATCTTGCCAATACTGTTCATCTTGGCTAAATGAGAGAGGAATATCTTCAGTCAAAGCTTTAGAGCTCATCTTGTGCTCATCACAAACAGTCATTGCATCTTCCTTCAGCTTTTGAATCTTCTCATTGTTTGGAAAATACTTAACAGCAGTTTCATGTTTTTCACTGAAATCCATGTATGCCAAGACTAGATTTGTAGATGTTGTTGCAAGCTCCATAAGGCATTTCTATAAAAATAAAAAAAAATAAAAAAATACATAATAAGGTTAATATAAATGAAAAGAGAAAATATGAAATGAGCAAAGTAGATGTGAAATAAGAAAAGAAATGTGGTACACAAATGTGATATTAACCCTATCCTCCCTAAGATACAACCAGAAGATGTATCTTAGGGAGGATAGGGATTGGGCTGATAATTATGATGTAGATTCAGACAACTTTTCATAGGTTAGCTTAGGTGAGGAGGCACAAATCACTATTTTACAAGGTCTGGGCAGAAGTCTGACACTAATATGGTACAAGGGTAGGACAGGTAAGCTACGTATGGGACATCCATAGTTATATGCCAAAGCCACAAACCTCTTATGACATATTCAAGTTCCAAAGAATAGACATTTTCAGCATTTAAACAATTTAAAAATTATATGCTAAAGGTAAATCAAAGACATTTAAACAAGGCATAGCTATAATTCTTGATATTAACTAAGTATAGCATAAATGAACTAAACAAAGCAGTAAGCAGAAGCAACAGAAATAGTCCAATCCAAGATATTATACAATGAGTTCAGTAAAGAGAACAACCCAACATACCCTAATCTTCAAAATCATAGAGGCTAAATTAACTAGATATATGTTGATAGTTAAAAAATAAAAAAAAATGATATCGGATTCAATTAATATGCACAACTCAAAGGATATTCACCATGAAAGTCACCCTCACCTCATAACAACTCGCACACCCCCAACCTTTTAACCCCCTACTCTTTCATCGCACGACAATCCCCAAATTCACAAAACAACAATACAAATTCACAAATTAAGTAAAAAAATAACAAAAATTAGGAAAAAAAAACAAAAACAAAAAATGAGCAAATTAATATAAGTTTCCAGAAAAGTCATATAAATACCTTCTTCGAATCTTGTTCAATTTCTTCATTTTTTGTATGAATTGGATCAGATTGTTCCTAAAATCAAGCAAAAACAAAAAAAAAAAAAAAAAAAAATTAGGTAATTGTGTAATTTTCATCCAAATCACATAGAGTATCAAATGAGCAAAAAAAAATTGCTCATTTGACAAATGAGCAAATAATTTTTTACTGATTTAGGAGGTCCATTAATGTGCTATAAAGAGCACCACATTGCATCATTTTCCTAAAGGCAAGATTTGTTCCAATTCAATTCTTCAAGCAATGCCAAAGACATAGAAAAACTAAGTATTGGTTACAAGTGAAATACCATTTTTGGTTGTTTGCTGCCAAAAGGACCAACAAGCTTCTGATTTTTATCAAAAACTACAAGCCTCCCTTTAAAAATTTCCAATTTCTCACGACTTGACAACATATCGGTTATCCAACCTTTGAGAACTGGAGTTTCTCGTTTGGCTCTAACTTCCTCAATGACAAACTGATCAGCGTATAAAAACTACAAACAAGTAAGATAGAAAAAATTAGTACATTAAAATTAAACAAATAACAATTAATACATAAAAACTACAAACAAGTAAGAAAAATAATTAGTAAATTAAAAATCAACAAATAAGTAAAAAATACTACATTAAAAAAACAACAAAAATTAAAGTAATACCATAAGAAACAGTAAAGACCTAGGAAAAGAACCAGTTTGACGTTCTTCCCAGAAAAGCTTGGCCTTCACAAGTGAATCAAGGATATACTTGCACCAATTCAAGTCCTTTATTTTATCAACATCAGAAAGAAATGTGAGAATACCAGAATTGATATTCACATTTTGTTTCCCTGACAAAAAAATGAGCAAAACAAAAGAAAAATGAGCAAAAGGAAATTTAAATGAACAAAATATAATATAAATAAGCAAACAAAATTGAAAATGAGCAAACTCCTATAAAATTTAAAACCATGATGTTGATTCTCCACCTTTTCCTGATGATATAATTAATTTTTAATATAACTTGAAATTTTTTGACAAGTATGTTAATATGAAGTATGTACCAAATCCTATTCCAAATTTGTTCACCCATCTCATCATTGACTAACAACAATAATCCATCAAATTATACAAACTACTTAGATAGCCCAAAAGATAAATACATAGAATAAAAAATAAATACATACATATATATATATATATATATATATATATATATATATATATATATATATATATATATATATATATCTTATTCTGAAAGTGTCAACAGTCTTTATCTAATGATGTATAGTTTCAAGTAACTGATTCTATACATATATGACCAACAACTTAGATAATATAATTGCTATATATAGCACACAACTGCTAAGTGCTAACTATAACTAAAAATAAGCAAAATAAAAATAAAAAGTTTACCATCCATCAATGTAGAAACGCATAGCACTACAAAGTTCCTTTTGAACATAAGACCATCTGAGTTATGCTCTTTCAGAAACTCTTTCAGCTCCCCTATTTTGATAGAGAGTGAGTTGCTTTTGAATTGCTTCTTCCATTGCTGAATCACTCTCTTATCTCTGGAAAAATTATTTTTGTCAATTTCTATGCCACCCATTGGCAGCCCAAGTACTTGATGCACATGCTCTTCAGTGATACAAAAAGGTTCAAAATCTGGAATGTTTAAAGGGCATGTGTTAGCATCAAAGTGATGAACCAACCATAAACCCAACTGCAAAGGCAGTTGGGTCACCTTCAAGAACTCCATAGACCCGAATCCTATTGCTCTAATAGCTTTCAACTGATTTTCTGAACATTTTTCAATAACTCGAACGATGGATGAAGGGGACATCCGACTATGTAATGTCCCATAAACATGAGACTTCAAATCTTCCCCTTCGTTGCTGGATTTCGTCTCCTCCAGCTTAATCTTTTGTTTTTCTTTCAATCCTTTTTCAACCTTTTTACCTTTAACTTTAGTACCAACTAATACCTCTGATGAACCAACATCAGCAGCAGGCCCTGCTAAACCAACATCAGCAGTAGGCCCTGTTGAACCAACATTAGCAGCAGGCCTTGCTGAAACAACATCGGCAGTAGCACCTGATGAACCAACATCGGCAGCAGGCTCCTTTTCAATAGTCTCCCTGCTCATACAAAACAATTAAAAAAAACAGTAAATAATTAGTTGGTAATTTTATACAAATGAGCAAAAACATAGATACTCATTTGTCAAATGAGCAAAAACATAGATGCTCATTTGTCAAATGAGCAATCAAACATAGATGCTCTTTAAGTGACAAGCAAATTTTTTGCTTTAACCAGCCTAGAAACTACATTTAGTCAGTAAACCTACTCTCACATGCTTCATACCCATCTTGCATTCCTCCCACCTCATTCCAACCCCAAATCTATCCTCAAGTGCAGTGGTAATACCCTACAACCACTTGTCATCCGAAACAAAATCAGTAGACTTAAATGAGTAAATTCCATTTACTGCAAGACCATAAATGACAAAACAAACAGGAGAGAATGAGTAATTATGGAGTGCATTTCATTATATGTATTCTATGATATTAGATTTTTGTTCTGTTATTAAAGCTTAATTTCAAATGAATTAAGCTTTTTATACACATAAACAAGGCTAATAATGCTTTTTTTTTTCCTGAATGCAACAAATTTGTCATAGAGATCTTAAGCTTAAAAACACTCTCTTAGATGGCAGTTCAAAATCGCGTCTCAAAATCTGCGACTTTGGCTACTCTAAGGCAGGGATACTCCTCTGAATCTATCATTTTGTTTATAATCAATTACTAATCATGACTAATCTTTGTTAATTATAATAGTCTGCAGTGCTACATTCTCAACCAAAATCGACGGTAGGAACACCGGCCTATATCGCCCCAAAAGTCCTTTCCCGAAAGGAATATGATGGAAAGGTAGTGTAACAACTAGTGAATAGTGATAGAGCGCTCTAGATTGCAATAAAAATATAAACAGCTACATGTATTACAGAGATGTAATATTTCAAGCAGAAAAGCTCAGTAATGTCAGGAGATTAAACAAAATTCAGCAGGTTAGGTAGACTACATGACATAAAGGTGCAATTACACATCATGGAGGACCTTACAAAAGACTCGGAACCATCGACTTTACTGGTTAGATAATATAACACATTCAACGCTCCCACTATTTACATAAAACAAACCACCCAAATTCAGTTCTGGGCATAGTCATTACATTAAACGTTCAAGGTACAGAAAGAACCAGTTTAAAAACCTGCAAAGAGCAAGGTACAGGAATATACAGACGAAAGAAGACACCCTTAAACATTGACCCAAGTACACAAAGCATGGAATAGGGCAACATTAATCATTGAGAAATTAAGAAGATTGTAGTAAGAATTCATGGTAAGGAAAGAATGCCAGGACTAAAGTTACTACCAGAGTATACGACAAAGTATATAGCTCGTCAGAGACCCAGAGTTATCCAGCACCTAGCACTAATGACTAACTAAGCATCAAAAAAACACAAAAGAAGAGAACGCAAACTTATCAGGTGGTCAATTCCATAATAGCACAAACAATATCACCATCAGCAGCCTTGAGTACCTTGACTACCTTGCCCCTTGGGACCCCAGCCTTGAGTCAATATACACTCAGACACACAGTTGAACAGAGTCATGGTCACTAATGACTCAAACACACAGTAATAACAAACTAAAAGATAATCGACACACAGTAACCTAAAATTAATACACAACCAAAGCAAGAAGACTTGTAAAAACCTAAATTCAGAGAAAATAAAACTAAAAATAACTTGATAATTACTAAAAAAAAAAACGAAAAAAAACTAAAATCAACAAAAAAAACAAACTAAAAGATAATCGACACAAAGTAACCTAAAATTAATGAGCTAAAATCAGAACAAATTAAACGAAAAGCAAAACGAAAATCAAGCAAAAATCGCAACAAAATCAAGCAAAAATCGCAACAAAACAACATAATATCGCAAATACAAAACCAAAACAAGAACACTTAGTAAAACCAAAATTCAGGCAAAATAAAACTAAAATTTACTGGATAATCACTCAAGAAAACGAAAATAAAACTAAAATCAACAAAAAATAACAAAATGAAACATAATCGACGCATTGCATGTTAAAATTAATGAGCTAAAATCAGAAAAAATTAAACGAATATCAAAACGAAAATAAAACAATGAATGTAACCTAAAATTAATTGAAAAACAACAAATGTATAAACAATAGACTCACATTTAACGAAAAATTGATGAAGATTGAAGAACTTGTGATGAAAAATCAGAGAGCAGCAGAGTAGAACACCGTAGAATTGAAGGAGGAGAGAGAAAAATGAGCGAAAAAGAAGAAGGAGGAGAGAGAAAAAACGTAGGAAATAAATTTTGAAATAAATTTGTTTTGTTTTGTTTGTTTTACCGGGTTGTATTATGACCCTTGGATGTAGTTGATCTAACGGTTGTAATATGTCCTCACATAAAATAGGGTTCTCACATAAGGCGGGTGGTCTCATATATATATATATATATATATATATATATATATATATATATATATATATATTCTCATAACACTTACTTTTATATATATTTAATCTCATAACAATTACTTTTATACACCACATAAATTGAGGGAGCCCCAATTTAACACGTTGATATTCGTGTATCAGGTGGCAAAACAATAAATAAATCAACAAAAACATCCGATCAACATGACATTTTCGTAATTATATCAATAACTATGAACTCATATTTAATAAAAAAAATTGTTGATTTATATATAATTTTATCATTTGATACTGATAATCTTGTGTATTCCCACACAACCTTTTTTTTTCTACCAAAATTTCTAATGATGAATAATACTGCCTTAAATACATCACTTCAACAAGAACGAAAATATAACCATCGAGAATGTCATTCAATATTAGATGTGTCAATTCAGGTGTTCGGATCGGGTTTGGTTAAGTCTGGTCGGATTGAGTCGGGTTAATTTTTAAACATGAGTCATACTAAATTATTATGTCCACGCGAGTTAAAATCTGAATCGTATATTTTTCAAATCGAATCGGGTGAATTGTGATTTTGACACCTCTATTCAACATTCCATTCACAAACATTACCTCTACTTTTCAAAGGCCTCTTTGAGTGTTTGTTTCCAGAATCTGGGACCCCTTTATCTGTTTTGAATCTCTTCCTTTACAACTTTTGAATCTCGTACAAGATTCTCATTCTCACCTCTTTCGTTCCGTCAGCACTCGACAATGAACAAATAACCTACATACACATATAGTCAACCCATTTATTAATTAGTTATTTATTTTTATTTATTCATCTGGTCCACTCTAAATTTCCTTGTCCCTTAATTTAAATCTCATATTGGTTGATAGGTATTTGTTACAAATTAATTCCCACAAAAAGCTTACTTTGCATTTGTAAATTTTGTCAAATTTATTCATTTTCTTCCGCAGAATTGGATTCTTCACTTTGACAGTTTTATTATTCTTTAAATTAATGTTTTAAAGTACAATTTTTTTTTTTAAACTAACACCCAATTTGGTGAACGTGAAACAATCAAATTTGTGGGTTTAATTTAATTTTTGTTTTTTAATTGATGGGTGTTATGAATGAATATGGAGGACAATGTTTAATGGGTTTCAGAGGTTTAAGAAGAAGAAAGCAAGTGGACTCTGAAAATCTCAACATAAATCATGGTCATCAACAATTGGCCAAGAGATTAAATGTTCTTGATCTTGTTGGAATTGGTATATTTTTCCTTTCTTAACTTTTGAATTTTGTTTTTTTGTTATGTTTAAATTAATTGTTTATTGTGAGATGATGTTAATGCCATGCTTAAGTTTTTGTGCTGTTTCTGCATTAATGTTATAGGCCAAGTGAAATCATTTATGTTTGAGAAGGTTTTTGTATATTGGCATGAATTAAATTTATTGGCAAAGTGGAATCATTTGTGTTTGAGAATTATTTAAAGATTGGAATTTTTGAAGGAATGCAAAACTGGTACTAATTTTGAAGAAATTTGTTCATGCTGGATTAGCTTGAAGACTGAATTTACTATTAATTTCCTGAATTATGATGATGTGTCACATCTTAGAACTCGGTTTTCTCGTTTGCTGATAATTTGATATACAACTCGGGTTTTGAAGGAATATATATTTATGAAGTATCCATGGGCAAAAATTGGAAATTAGATGAAGGAATTAATTGAAATTAGATTGTTTAGTTTCGAACATCATGTTTCTGTTTTAGGTTTAAATGTGAAGATTGGCTTTTCTTAGCACTAGTTGCCTGGATTTATATATTTATTTTCAATTTTTTTGGTAACTTAATAAAGAGTTGCTAGGTAGGTTCACCATATGTCTGGTTGTTTTAGCTAAAAAAACTGTAAGTCAAGCTGTTCCACTCTCCAGTTTGTTGTCTTGCCCTGCATTTTCTTTCATGCCTATCATCCAGCTGCTGGCTTAATGAATATTGTTCAAGCCGAGTCCCAAGTACGAGTGCTACTAGGCCAGGAAAGTCAGCCTGCTTTGTCTCAAAGAACCAGTGGTTGGGCTTTTGAGTCTTGAGTTCTGCAGCACTTATTCATCTGTCAAGTGTCAACTCTAAGTATATGCGGATTATAGTATATGTATATTTGTATATGTGACTTGGTTAACATAAGATGAGTTTTTTTTTACTCTTTATCTTCCCGCCCCTCACTTTCTTTATGCAGTTCTATATTTTAGGGAACTAAAAAGCTACCTGAGAAGAATGTAATTATTGAGAATGATGTTTGGCTGTATACTTGTGTGGAAGCTGACTTTGGAAGTGCAAGTTCCATGCTAAACCAAAGCTACATTGTATGGTAGTTTTTTGTTCCTGGAACTTTAGTGTGTACCATGTTCCATCGTACATGGCAATCTGCTTAACTTAGAGTGTGTCGGTTCCTACTTCTTTTTCTCTATTAGGAATGGAGTATTTGTTACATGTTAGTGTGTGTATTTGACCTTAATTTGTTCTACAAGGTTTATGTCTGAACCAAGCAGTGTCTATGCAACTTATATCTGCAAGAATGATTTAGGAAAGAACAATTACTTGGACTTTAAAAGCTAATGCTTGAAGAAAGGAGGAAGTGAAGTGAATGACTCCTTTGCTACTAAGCACTAAGGCCTAGCTGATTCCTTGATTAAAACATAAAGATGTATTATTTATATCTTTCTGAGCATTGAATTCCATTTTCATTTAAATGGAGCCAAACAATTTGTTTTTTCTATTCTTTTTGTTTAAAAATTTATAGACCAGATCATTATTTCTCGAGAAATCGATTGTGCTTTTCTCTTATTATAAAGTAATGGATGGTCGATTAGTTATGATCAAGGATCAAATGGAGAGGCTATTTTCATTCAACATCCCTAATCATGCCACAAATTGTATCTTATTAAGTAGCAATAGCATAATGTTGGTGTAACGTGTTAAGCCAAAGGGCGGATTCGTGACTGGCTCTTCAAATTCTGTCTGGATTAGGCCTGGTACTGATTGGCTTAGGTATGGCGCAGGATCAGTCTTAGGTGTGGTAGTTCTCAGGCTCTAGGTCAATCTTTTCGACCTGAGCCAGACCAATGCACAATAGGCCTTGACTAGTTATATCAGGTTTTTAAAGTGGGTCGATTTTCAGAAGAAGCTATAAATTTTGTGAATGGCTTGGAATTAAGCTTGGTACTGAATCGGCTTAGATTTGGATCAGGTTCAGTCTTAGGTGCGGTGGTACATAGGCTCGAGGTCAATAATTCAGTGTGAACAAGATCAATGCACAGTAGTTCTCGCATAGCTGAAGCAGTTTTTCAAATTAAATCTGTTTTCCAAAAGAAGCTAGAAATTCTTGACTGGCTCACCCATTCTGTCTAAATTAGTAAATTAGGCCTGATACTGAATCAGCTTAGATATGACACAAGTTCAGTCTTAGGTGCGGTGGTTCGCAGGTGTGAGGTCAATTTTTTCAGCCTGAACCAGATCAATGCACGATAGGCTTTGCCTCGCTAAACTCGATTACAAATGTAAATCTGTTTTACTGAAGAAGCTAATATGCATATGCCCGGCATAAACAAGGTCCACGGCCAGTTTATTTTTGGCCAGGACTAGCCTGCCCCACTGCCTTATCCATGATGTGCCCATTTATTAGGGAATTTTTGGGAAATCCCAGTCTGAACTATGGCCAAGCCTATATGAACTAGCTCATGGCTAGCTGTAGCTGATAATGTCGTTAGCTAGTGGTGAGTTCCTTTGTTTAGAGCTCTCTTCAACTCAGATTTCCTTTATTAGATGAAGTCTTCTTCCAAAATATATCACCAACAAAAAAGACACTAAGATGTCTTTTTAGACTATCATAACAAGAGGTTTGTTTATCTGCTAAGTTGCCATGTCCGGCTCGGCTTTTTGTGGAAACATTTGATGATTAGGGTCCAAAATGAAGGGTCTAAGTGTCCTACCCATTTCTGAATGTTTAGGATCCAACATGAATATTTGAGGTAAAGTGAAGTGTATGAGTAACATAGGGGTATCTGCATATTTATCTTCACATCTCTCTCTCTCTCTCTCTCTCCCTCTGTGTGTGTGTGTGCGCGCGCGCGTGTGTGTATTATTCAGTAGTAATT